AAAAATTTAAATCTAAAATTTTAGTGACTTTAATAATATTTATGATGACAATAACCTCATCTTTTTAATTAATCCAGGTGGCTGGGGGAATCTTCATTAACAGCGGCTGGTAGTGGCAAAGCCACGTTATGGCCATACAAATGTTTTTTGAGACCACACAAATTTACAATAAATTTATTTTATTTATTTGAATTTATCAATTTATAATTAACTAGGGGAGGGCATGTGGAAAAAAAATTATTGTTGAGAAGTATGGAAAGGGAGGGGGTCATTGGCAGGACTGGTTAGATGAAAATAGAGGAGTAGGATCAACTTGGTGGAGGGATGTGGGTGGTATAAACACAATGGATGGGGGCAGCAATGGATGGCTAAAAGAGGGATTTAGGGTTAATATTGGGGAGGGTAACACGGTCAGTTTCTGGTGGGATAAATGGAGGGGAGAGGAGTGTCTAGCGAATATGTTTCCAAGACTATATCTGTTATCTACAGAGAAGATGAAGAAGTGTAGCGAAATGGGTAGCAAAACTAACGGTTTGTGGGAGTGGAACTTAACATGGAGAAGGAAGTTGTTCGAATGGGAAGAGGAGGAGGCAATGGAATTACACAACATGATTCAAAGAGTGCAGACTTCACAAGGATGCATGGATAGCTGGGAGTGGACCCACAGCAAGGATGGCCAATATTCAACAAAATCAGCATACGCAATTTTAGCAAAGGAGGAGAGGGAAGCAACAGAAATTACAACCTTCTCAAGAATTTGGAACTCTGTTCTGCCAAGGAAAATTTCGGCATTCAACTGGCAATTACTACAAGACAGGATTCCAACTAAAATGAACCTGTTGACAAGAGGGATAATTAAAGACATCCAAGACTGCAAGTGCGGAATATGTGGGGAGGAAGAAGAGGACACAAAGCATCTGTTTCTGAAATGTAACATGGTTCGATGGTTATGGATGGCTTGTGCAAAATGGTGGGGTATTAAAGTTAAATTGGAAGCGGACTGCTGGAATACCTTTCAAGTTGCTGGAAGAGAACCAAAAGAGAAATGTATTAGAGATGGATGGGATTGCATTTGGAATTCTCTAGCGTGGACAGTGTGGCTGGCTCGAAATCAAAATACATTCCAAGGCAAAGAGATTAACTGGGAGAAGCTGTTGGAGCTCATCCAATTAAAGTCGTTCCATTGGATCACAGCAAAAAAAGAAAGGTATGCCTTCACTTTAACGGACTGGTTTATTAATCCAGTTGCATGCTTGAAAGATTGCCATAGGAAAAGATAGGTACCAATTAAATAATCTGTGGGAGGGGAGGGTATTGATGATATCTGGAAGGTCTGGATATGTTTTTTGCTTAGATGGATTGAGGTGCTGTGTAATAGGGGCTCTTTAAGGCTTTTTGAGCAATCATTGACTGTAATGGAATTCACCTGTAGTCAATGCATGATCAATGCATTGTGGGTCAGTGGGTGCGATGGGCGAAGGTCTGTTTGATCTGAACAGGGAGATTTGTTGTGAACGCAAAGATGGCAGAATTCTCGTCACGGGCATAGTGTCGACACTTCTTGTGGGGGTCGACACCTTGTGTTAACTAGTGATATTCATCAATTTGGGGTACCTCTTGTATTCCGCTTATTAATAAATAATATGTTTGCTGTTCAAAAAAAAAATTTATAATTAACTAAAACGTTTAGAGATACTAAAATATATGTTGATTTTAAACTATTAAATAATAAATATCAATTATTATATAAACTATCAATTAATAATTATAACTATTAATTAATTTTTACAATCTAACCAAATATGCTTATAATTTTTATGCAATTATATCCATTTTCCACACACACTAGTCAAAATACAAAATATAAAAGTAAAAAAGTTAAAGTACCCAAAATACATCATCATTACACGCAGAAAAATGCATTTAACCATGCAACCAAACCATCAAAGTTCAATATGTATAATTGGAAGCTCCTTGAAAAAAAAAAAGAAAAAAGAAAGAAAAACAAAACAAAACAAAACAAAAAACTCATAATTGCACGAGATATTCAGACCAAATTCGTGAAAACAACTGAGATACCTACCAAATGTTTCAAATGCAACAAGTTAAGCAATTTCAATTGTTGCACCTTTCTTCTTTCATTTCTGTCCACAAGTAATTGCACCTTTTGCTTTCTTTCTTTTTCTTCTTTTCTAATCGACTTTTGATTCTAGCATTTGTGAATCCTTTTTTTCTCTCACAAGTGGGGGTCAAGTACCTTTTGGTTCTCATCTACGTGGACTTCTATGGTAGCAACATTATTAATTAAACCTTCTAATTCGTTTTCCAATCAATTCAAATGCCTCCATTGACTTCATGTTTACAATTTTAGGCGAACCTTGTCCGCAATTACATGATTTACAAGAAAATCGGTACTTTAACGACCCAGAATACAGCATCCTCCACGAACAGAGATGTTCTAGCTAGCTCGTGGGCAACAATGTTTCCCAGAGGTTCGTCTCACAAGCTGTAGAAAAGCTTTGTAAAATTGGAAAGATGGTATTTAAAAGGTTAAAATGTTAATTTGGTATCTCAACTTTTAGATTTGTATTGAAATTATTCTTACATTGTAAGTATTGAAATTGTTCTTAAACTTTTGTTTTTAATATCAAAATAGTTTTTCTATTAACAAAAGTACCGCATGACTCATTATTTTATTACAAAATCAATTTTTTTAAAATATTAATGACATGTAAAATTAAATAACCATATTTTGTCGCTATGATATATTTTCATTTATATATTAAATTTACATGTTATTAAAGTTAAATGACCAAATTAGTACTTATAATCAAAATTTAAGGATTAAGTTGATATTTATTTTTAAAGATCAAAGACTTATAAGTTGATTCTAATATCTTAAACTTAGAACTATTTTGAACCAATAATAAAGTTTAGGGATAATTTTGGTATTTTTTGAAATTTAAAAATAAATTTAATACAAATTTAAACATTAAGGGATCAAATTCATATTTTAACCTAATTTATTTTAAATTATATAATAATAGATATTTTTTTTAACTCTTAATTTACTTCACTCATATATTATACAAATTCAAGCATAATCTTTCTTATTTTTGTTAAGAAAATTATTATTAAATTACTTAATTTATAGACATTAAATGGTATAACTTTTTTTTTTTTTTGAACATTTTTGTCATAAGGCCGGCTCGAACCATTGCCCTGAGAGAAGGGAATATGAACCTTACAAACGTGACTAGAGCCACTTGGCTCGAAGGGTCAAGTTCCATTAAATGGTATAACTTAAGCTATTAAATAAGATAAATTTGCATTGGAGCCAGTTGCAAAACGAGATTAAAAAAAAAATAAGTTAAAATATTAATTTGGTCCTTCAACTTTTAAATTTAAGTTGAAATTATTTTTAAACTTTAAAAAATACCAAAATTATCTGCAAACTTTAATTTTCGATACCGAAATAGTTCTTTTGTTTTGAAAGTGCCGCATGTCTCATTATTTTGTCACAAAATCAGTTCTTTTTTAAAATATTAATGACATAAAATTAAATAATTATATTTTGCTATCATCGAATATTTCTAATTACACATCAAATTGATAAGTAATCAAAGTCGAATGACTAGATTAGTACTTATAATCAAAATTCAAGATTTATTCATTATTAGTCTTCAAAGTTTAAGAACAAAGTTTGTATTAAATTAAAGTTCAGGGATGTTTTGATACCAAAAATTAAAGTTTAGAAATACTTTTAGTACTTTTTAAAGTTTAAAGATAAATTTAATCTAAATCTAAAAGTTGAGAGATCAAATTGGTATTTTAACCAAAAAAAAAAGTCCTGCACATCACATCGAAAAAAAAAAAAAGGGCCCGCACATGATTTGTTAAATTTGAAACTTTACCGTTGAAATGGTATCTAGAATAAACATTCACTTTAGCTGTGGTACTAAAATGCTGCTGCCCTCTCCAGTTTAGTCCTCCCACGGGAGCACATAAAATTTCATTTTTCACTTCCCCCTCGCACCGTTTACGTGGGAGCAGCAAAAGTTTGCTGCCAATATCCATCTCGCTACCTTAAAAGTTT